AAAAGTTACCATGCAGTGAGAAATTTGTAATGACATTAAAGTTTATACGTACGGTATTGCATACAAGTTGTCCATTTGGGATTGGTTGACTTTACAGTACAATATCGCATACAACTTAGATTTTGTTTCCAATACTTTATATATAACTTTAATGTCATTATCAATTTCTCATTGCATAGTAATGTGGGACAGCTTGTAATTGTGCAGTTGATAAAGGTGATAAAATTAGAAAACTTTCTGTCAAATTTGTATTATAAGTTAGATGAAAATTTGGCGCTAAGTCAAACTCTATGATTTTTGTATATCTGGGCGCTTCTCACTCTTGCTACTCTGGCTAACAAAGTCTCTATTCTTTTATATCTGTTGTTTAGAATTCAGTTTTCTTTGTACTTTATACAAGAAAATTAGAGATAAAAGTAAAGAAACATATGTTTAAATATATTTTAAAGTAATATTTATTTCTAATTTACAGATTATTTTTTGTACAGTAATCATTAGAATAGATTTGATGTATTTCATTTTTAATTAGCAATTGCAAATTGTACATATGAATACAGCCATTAATCATTCGAAATTCTTCTCTGATGTAATGCATCTGTCAAGAATATACTATACTTGTATAGTGCATTCCAAATATTGTATATTTGATAGAGCAATTAAAATATACTTAGTTTTTCTTCTTTTCAAATAACTATGTTAAATTTAAGCTCGCAAGTCTTGGAAAATTATATTTTAGTCCTTGAACAAGATCTCGTTGTTCAAATGTTTTTACTTAGACTAGTATTTAACGCTGCTTCGGAGCTACTAAAATAATGCACAAAGATTTTTATTCTAGATAAATACTGTTTAAGATGAGTAGTATTATGGTAATCTTCTCTGTTATATTTGATACTTTTTTTGCAAGTTAAAATTTTGTCAGCTACGGACCTTTATATTATTAGCAAAATATAGTATTTTGGAATGAAATTAAACTTGCATTAATGAAAATCACTCTGAATTTACACTTAGAACGTCGCCCTTTTTATAAGGTTGCTTACCACAAGTCCAGATTTGGAATACTATCCTGATGTATTTCAAATTGCCTGCATTTGCATTAATCCAATTTGTTCATTTCTATCTGAAAATATTTAAATTTGTATTAAAATTACTCAAATAAGAATTGTAGGTGGTAGGTGTTTGCAGATGTATGTGTATATTGCATGTACCACTTGTCCTCGAGCGAATGCCTTTAGTAATCTGCAGACACGAGCGATTTACTAAATGTTTGTGTTCTGTCCCGTGTGATGGCTACGAAATTAGCAATTGATCAAAAGTCAAACGAGTACAATTGGTTCAACAAATATTAAAGAAATGTTCAATAAATGATAATTTGATTAAAATCAATTAGGATTATTTTCCAGAGTAACCATAGCCTATTTCATGCTCGGTATCCATCAAATTTCACCACAACGCTACCTCACAATGTCTCGATTTCCGGTTTCAAACATACGACCACCCTACGCTTTAAAATTTATTATTTAATTAAAATTTATGAGATCAATAACTACAGTAGTGTTTTGTTCTGAAACATGATATTTATAATGTAAACAGAGTAAGTTTATATATAGATGTTTATATAATAATATAAATTACAGGAAATTTTACCTTATACTGGTTAGATTTGTTATTACATAATAGAATTTTAATTTTTGTATTAAAATACAAAGTTGAAAACAAAGTAGAACAAAACTTGATTCTATTTGAATTCATTAGCATTTATCTCTAGCGTAATGAAGCTTTATTTTTTTGAGTGCTGCTAAATTTCATATTACACTTAACTCTATTTTAATTCATCAATTGATGATCCAATTAAGATAATTTCATGTCATGATGATCTAATTAATGATTCTTTCTACTTAATTAGTTTAGTCTAGTAAAAAAAAAAAAGGCATTGTTAAGTTGAAGGAAATATGTTTTAAGTAATGTTAGTTATCTGTTTACAGTTCTTATAAATTGTGTGTTTTCTTTTTCAGATATGGACAATTCTATGTTTGAGACATGACTAATCATACATTGGAAATTCGTCAAGACACTAACTTTTAATCTGCCTGCCATTCCAGGTAATGTTTTAATTTGTCTCGGCTAGCCAATTAATTTTTTTTTTTTAAGAGTAATTTTTGCATTTTTAAGTAAACTCTCTGCAATAATTATTTATAGCAGCGGTTCTCGACTTTTCCGAGGCCACGGAATACCATTCGTGTACTTATTATATGGAGCGCTAGCATTGATACATTCAAAAATCAATAAGCAATTTCACGTTTGTTATTCTTGCAGAATAACAAAGCAACAAACTTTATTCTATCGAATAAAATAGTAAACTTTGAATTGTCTACATATATATGTTAGACTACATTGGAATGAACTTGCTATAAAAAACTTTAAAAAAATTTTTTTCCGTGGAATGCTTGGAAGTTTGTAGAACATGAATTGAGACCTACTGATTTATAAACTATATTCTGATAAATTTGCATAATTTCAGACAGTTATTTCATAGTTTTTGAATCTTTTTTAATGTTCGTCTGGTCAAGATACTATGAGGGTTGTTCGGAAAGTAATTTATGTTTGCCCATAATCTCAACATAATCACAGTCATTGTTTAAGTACTTGTCATATTGTCATAGACCCTGCTACCAAGCATTTAACCACTGTGTGACTTTGTTTTTCAACATGTTGGCATAAGCAAAATGCTTTCCTCCCGGAAACTCCTTTGATTCCCCAAATGGGTGATAGTCACTGGGATCCAAGTCCAGACTGTAGGCGGAATGGGTGCAGAACATCCCATTTGAAGTGTCAAAGCAGGTGTGTGGTCTTCGGAGTCGTGTTAATGTGCATTTTTGTGGAGGAGCACAACTGCCCTTAGTGTGCAAAAATAAATGTTGTTTAGACAAATCTTTTTGGAATTCAGTAACCAAATAACAGCATACACTTTGTATGCTTTGAGATTGTTAATTTATATTGCTATTTTAATGACACAACTCCACACTGCACTCATTCAAGTTACTTTAAGTAAAGCGTACATGTGACCAAGGTTGGTTGGTTGGCTTTGCCTACTTGACATCTGTTACTTTCAACATCATCGATGAGTAAATGAGTATTCTCATAATAATTATCATTTGATGCCATTTTTAATTCATGAGTAAGAGAAGCAGATCTAAATTGCTATAATAAATTCAAAAGCCAAATGTTGTGAATTCTTAACATTATTAGTAATACTAGATGTGGCCGAATGGCCAAGCTACCGCTCCAGGAAAACCGTAAACAAATCCAGATCGGTCAAAGAACCCAAATTTGTCGAGGAGTAGTCTGTCCCGGGCATTTTGGACCCCAGCCGCATCGTTTCGGCCATGCCCGAGACGAGGCCTACTTAAAAAGGCTTTCTCGACGCCCGAGGAGCAGAGTAAAAATTTGTAATAATAGAAAATTGAAAATAATTATAAATCGTTTACTTGTATTGAGCAGTTTAAACAGCTTTATTAAGCAAATTTAATCATTAATCTTTTGATTTCACAAAAATATTGATCAGTAAGACCACTAGAAGGTAATGCACTGAGGATAAACTATATTTGGATTCCTATGGCATTAGGGAAGTAAACGGAAGTTTTGTAAGGGTAGATGTTCCGATTTTCCGGTCTTGAACTTACGGCAACCCCATATGAGGGTTCCTCTAATTCCTAGGGACCCAGCAGGGGAACTTTCTCCTTTTACCTCCCCTTGGGTCCTCTGCTGGTAGGCGATGGATTGAATGCTAAACTATTAAGTTGGGGAGATACGAGTTTATGATTTTACTCCTTATTAGCATTTGCAAAGTTTTTCTTTTTTATAAAACTTTTCCATACCTTCAAAATTAAGCCTTTTTCCATTTTATAATTAATTAATATAAAAAATTTAATAAAATCTCGTAACAGATGGCGCCACGCGTGATTTTAACTTTTCTTGCCTGGTAAGTTACTGTACTCGTTTCTGGAATATTTTTTAATTTTATTATTATTTTTTTTTTTTCGACTAATGGGAATAAAATTTCGATGACAAAAATTAATTTTCTTACCGAACACAATCCAGAGACTCCAGCAGAAATTACTGTCGTGTTTTTTACCCTTACTCATGTCATATTTCATTCACATAAACAGTGAATAATGTCATAAGCATGAGTCAGTGGAATGATGTGTAGCTTCCGATCTATTTGTGCAATATTTTTCTACAGATTATGTCGTAATAATTATCGAGTATCCGTAAAAATGCTGTGTTTGATATAAGCTAAGTGATAGGAATTTCACTGTGTCAGTGTTTTCTTAAACTTTTCGGACTGCTGCTCCCTTTTAGTGCGTATCCTGTAGGCTTCCAACACCCCTACTACCCCTCGCCTTTATGCGCTATATCGAGGATAAGATTTTATTCCGTTGTAATGAAACTGTAGGTGCACACAGCGAATTTTCTAAGATCGTGTTGTTCGTTCTGATAATTTATGCACGTTCGATATAACGCATTATTTACATGGACATTTGTGTGATCCCCTCTGCGACCACTTACTTGATCGATACTTTTACTTGTCTCGCTCGGTTTATACGGGATTATGAATAAATGCCAGAAGTCTCTCTCTTTATACTGTGATTTGAGAAATTCAACCTCGATATAGCGCCAGTACATACTTAAGATTTCTCCCTCGTAAATATTAAAAGAAACTTTATAACATTCAAATTTGTATGCAACTAGAAGAACACTTGTTTGAGGTACTTCGGTTTAGCGTTGCACTCAATTTAGTTTTAGTTTTAGAGGCGAAGGAATGAAGTTTACGTTAGAATTTCATATAGGATTCGAACTTCTTATAAATCACTTATTCTAGCACGAAATATACTGCTCGAATGTCTGTCTGTCTGTCTGTCTCGGAAATGTTTTCCCCCTTTCGTGTTGTAATAAAAAAGTAAGTAAATTATATCGAACATTTCTATATTATTTTTTGTAATCGTTTTAACTTAAATATTCCACAGATCGCCAATAAAATGTGTTGTTGTTAGAACCGTATATTTTTAATATTAAAACTTTTTTACTGTTGTTGATTCTACAAAATTGTCGAAAAAATACTTTTTAAATTCGATCCACGTCTATTTAATGTAGTAAATTGCGCTATTTTTATCCTGGAAATTATTTTAGCGTGTTTACTTTTCCACAATTTTCCCTTTCGGAATCTCTAAACGGGGAGGAAATATACAAATTAACTATTTTTAAGCGCGTTGTCTAAAAATATGGAATATTTTCAGTCCAGAAGCCCCTTTTAAATTAATTATACGGTTATTTAATGCGCAAGTTTCGATATAATGGTGCAGGAACATTGGTTAGACAGTTAACTTCCGTTTAAATTTTCTAGGAATTAGAAACAACCGGTTTGGTGATACTCCCGTCACGTGTTAACTCGTATCTCCTCTCTTTCCTCTGAATTAATTTGAAAACAATATTAACTGGATTTCTTTGAAGGATTATCTGTAAGCCCAGTCCTTTCGCGAAGGTATACTTTAAAAAAGAAACCCATCTGTATAGAGATAATTGCTATACCCATCGTCAAGCTAAGGCCCCTGATACTTTCTAAACATGGTTATCTTGAATCGCTCAGGCAAGCGGGATTTATGGGGCCCTTTTCTACGAGTTTATAAAGGCCTGAGGCCTGTGCCAGGATCGTAATAACTCATGCTGGGCTTTGTATATTGCAGCGGGATCGAATATCTGAACGTGCTTATCTTTGGTTCCTGAAAGCTCGAGGATTTAGGCGCGAGCCTAAGCTGTCCGTACCTTAAAATATAGAGTGAAATTCGGGGCATTTTACTGTGTTCCCTCGCTTTGTTTTCCCGTTTTACTCCTTTGTTTGAACTCTTGACACGGTTCGTTCCTCTGTTCTGGGCGATATCGCTTTACTTCTGGAACTCGTTTGCCTTACTTCACCCCTCCTCCGTCTAATCTAAACCGGTGCGGTCGATACTTTGTATAAACTTCTTGCCGTAGTGTGACGTTCTAATATAGCACGCGCTATCGAACCGCGCCACGCGTGACGTTCTAGAGCCAAAATACGATGACATAATTAGCGCGTTGACGGGTTCTTCGATATTTTCCCGATGATTAAGCAATCGGAACGTAACACGCTCCCAAAAATAAAATATGGAAGGCCGAGCGTGACGTCGGCCGGTGACGTTATCGAAGACACTCCATCATAAACGCGTGTCGCACGTTAGGAATGCGTCGCTTTCGCGCATTTCTGTCGCTCGAAGATGGCTCGGCCTTGACCTTATTCTTTCGTTCCTCCTGCCGTTTCTTTTTCTCTCGAGAAGTATGTTCAAAGAGACGAAATCGCGTCGCTAAACAGGAGTGTGGCGCGTTTCTTGTTTGTTACGCTTTAACAGTGGAGGAAGGGTGTTACTAGGACGGACGATTGTGACTGTATGAACTGTAATTCCCCGCCTGCAGACTGTAATCGGATTCTTTGAGCTTTTTTTGGTACATTTGGCGCGGAAAAAAAACCCCCTTCTCCTCTCGCTCCAGTTGCGACCTTTCTGAAGTGTTTCTCTTTTTGTAAGCGCGTAATTTAGAACGTGGTGACGAAAATGTAGCGTATAGCGTGGTATTTGGAACCGTTTTATCCACGTTTGTGTACTGAGAGACCTTGTTCTATGACGTTTTAAGGGGGTAGTGCTCCCACCGGCGTGGTTTTTGGTTTCGTTTCCCCGTTCCCAATCTTGCAAGTTTAAGGTTTCTTTTAGAAATTCGGCGTGTAATTTTGGAATTCCGCTTCTAAATTGAAGGTTCTTTCCTGCATTGGGGGGTTGATTTACTGAAAATGAACTACCATTGGCCGGCGTTAAACTTTCGATTCTATTAACGCAACCTAGTACATAAATTTCGGATTACTTTAGTACTTTTTCCCGCTGGAACCAGGCTAAATAAATGTCGTTCGGTTCCTTATTCTGTTACACATTTACTAAATCCATTACGAGATGAAGAAGCAGAGGAATTGGATGGGAGGAGTGAAGCTATGGAGGATAAAGTCTCCGAAAGAGTGAGTGATTAGTATTGTTTTTAAACGAGTAAAGCCGTTTCCGCATTCGCCCGCCCCTTTTCTGCACCTCATAACACGTATTTGTTAACTCCACAGTGACGCGTTGTCTATTTGGGGGGTCGGAGGGAGAAAATTTCACTGGTTAGTGATAAAATTAGCGGGCGGCGTGTTTAAAATACGCCTTATTATTATTATTATCACGGGGTCGAGCTTATCGTTTCGCACTCTGCTACGCGACGTAATTCCGGATATCAAGCTGCCACATCCGGTTGCGCTCCGACGCCTACGAGCACGTGCGTGTTTCAGACCCTTTGCCGGCTGCGGCTCGAGCGGTTGCAGGAAGTGAGGAAACGGTGCTAGAGTTACTTAAATGCCAGGTAGCAAGTTCGCGTTGACTCCAGGCGGTTTGGAAGTGTGCCAACTTGTTTCTCGGCTTCACTCCCTGCCATTTATCTACCGCTCGATTTTGTTGTGACTGATATATATATATATTTTTTTTTTTCATTACTAAACAGGCTTTCATCATGTTGAGAACTGAAAATTCCGTAAGGTAAAGGTTGATTTGTTTAGTTTATTCTGTTATCTGGGAAACCACATTCTTCTTTATATACAGGTTGTGTGCCATTTCTAAGCTGCTAATACATTGTATAATGTGTGTTTGTCCCCGTCCTGATAACCTATCTGTCGTTATCGATACCGCCTTACTTCTGTCCTCGGAAAGCTTTAACCGTGTTTAGATTTTCTGGCGCTCGTCGTAATTTGTAGAAGTTAAATGGGTTGATCCGTCGCTGGGAATGAATGCGGATCGGTCAAATGCCTGCACTCGCATTTGGTCGAACGTACCCGCACCTCGCGCACTTACATTTTTTGTGAAAAATAACAAAACGAGAGGTCGTCTCCCACAGGAACATGGAAGTCGAAGATGAGTACGAAGAGACTCCACTCGGCGTCGCCATCCTCACCTACTTCAGTTACATGATCCTCATCATCTTCGGTTATCTGCGGGAGTTTCTCAGGAGAGTCGGACTGGAGGACCAGCGGTGTGCCGTGGAAAGGAACAGAGAGGTAAAGGATCTCTGTAGACCTTTTTTCTTTGGGAAAACAATCGTAATCGGAGGGAAAATAAAAAGTAACAAATGGTTTCGTACAGGGTTACGTTCCTCTCTATCAGAAATTCGAAAGCTTTTATAATCACAATGTCTACAGAAGAATCAGGGACTGTTGGAGTAAGCCCATCTGCAGTGCTCCCGGCGTCATGGTCGACATCAAAGATAGGGTCTCCACCGACTACAATTGGCATTTTACGTAAGTTTTAGTTAAGTTTTATTAAATAATAATTTTTTTTTTTAATTTTGTCTTAAAAATTTAAATATTTACAAAGTTTCTCTTATTGATTTTAATGTTTGATATTAAATTGCATCGGTGTATCGACAGTGCAGATAAAGAAAAAAGTTATAACTGTCGACAATATTACAATTATTAGTCGTAGAAGACATTTTTCATTTTACTAATTTTCTAGTTACAAAATAATGCTTGCTTTAAATAACTATAAAATTAGATTTATTACAAATTGAGAGCAAAACTTACTGAAATGCATTTGTGAAACCGTTTTCTGTATTTAGAATAAAACATGATGATTCTTATATTAAGTGTAAACAAATTACACCACATGCACTTTGTGAGTGCATTAGCAAGACTAACTTTTTAGTTTTATAATATTTGGTGCGATAAGTCCTTAGGTGTTGCCGAATAGTCTCAAATTTATCACTGTTTACATGATTTGATGGCTTTATTTGGCATCTGGGTTAATATTGAAGTTACTTTATTAATCAAAATCAGTTAAAAAATCTGACTACTTTGCGGGATTGTGAGTTGAAAATCTATTCCGATATTTAGTTCAGTGTTTCTGTGAATAAGAATTTATTCAATGCAGTAAAGAAGCCAATAATTGTATATTAAAATAAGCTCTGAAAGAGCTTATTTTAATACTTTATTACATTAATACTTATTTTTTTACTTCAAAACATGTTAAAAACTAGCCTGTCATCTTCGAGATTTAATGTTCACTTTTAAACCTAAATAGTGTGTATTTTTACAATTTAAATTCCAAAAATGTTAAGTAACATCTGATGTGTCCTTATTTAATAGTTTCTTGTTCAAATTACTACATAAATGATAGTTATAATACTCTGTACAGAACTTAGAACGACTAAATTAATAAATTTGTATTTAATTTTTATTCAATTGTGAAGAAAGACTCAGATGACTGCCATTTTCCTAATTGCTAATAATTTTATGGATCACGTTTAACTTGGTTTTATTCTTCTCTACTCCTCCTGAAGGTGTGTGCACGCATGCACACTCGAATGAATCGATCAAGCAGTTTAATTATTTCTGTCCTAATTATTTTCACTAAATCATTGATGCATGTATATGTACGTATACGTAATCTTTGTATGTACAAATTTATGTAGAGTATTAGTTATGCCGAGAGTGCTCCGGTCGGATATTAAATATCATTCCCGATATCGGCACGGTCAGCACAAATGCAAATTCATCTTTGAAAATGTATTCAATTCAAGCTTGCAGCTCTATAAATATGTCCTAATTCTTTGTGTATGCAGAGTGTGTATTTTAAATGGAACGAAAAATATTTTAGAAATTCACAAGTGCATTTCAGATTTAACAAATGAAAGCGCTCAATTTTAATCAATATTATCACGAATAAAATAAAATTGGCATTTTTCTCGGCTCGGCTGCTAAGAATTACCTTTAAAAAATTTGTAAAGATTCAGAAAGTAATGCTTCTCTACCTCGTCGTTATGAAATATATATGACATAATACCAGCCGGTCAGATTAAAGCCGAACTCTTGAAGTTTTGCAGCATCGTGGATCGGACTTGGCGACTCCGAGCGGGTGGTGCGACCGACTTGCAAGTTGCCGAGTTCCACCCGTGGCATAACCGAGCCCCTCTCACTACTACTCAGCAGTTTTGTTTTCGTTTGATTATCTTATAGATCTTTTAAATGGCAATTTATTTTTATCTTGGTACAACTGAGATAAATGGATCAAGCATTTTTCTTGGCTTGCATTTTTTTTTAGTATTAAATTATTTTTGAGTTTTTAATTTTGCAAAGTGTAATCAGTTTTATGAAGTATCATTCAGCAAATATTTAATATAGTAAGCAGTTTTGTGTGTTTAGATTTTAATTTTTTTTAATATATAATTTTTGTGTCAAAGCTAAAGTTGCTATATGTTTAGTTTTTTGAGATTATCTGTCTGTTTGGAACACTTCAGGACAATCTGTCCTTAAATATTTCCATGTGTGTTGCAATCAAATAAGAACTGTAGGTAGTAGGTATCTGCAGGTGTTGTGCTTGCATACACTACCTATATATGCCTTTAGTAAACCGTGGCATACTAAATCATCAATGTTGGATTGATTGTTTTGTCATGGTCTGGCTTTCTTTTGACTCTATCGTGTGGATCCTAAGACTATTTTTATTCGTGTGGATGTGCCGAAGCTTGACAGACAATGGGAGCGGCTGGGTTTTCTGTCAAAAACTTAGTTGAAATGTGTAAGTCAAACGATGACGATTGGTTCGGCAAATCGTAAATAAATGTTCGGCCATTGATAATTCAATAAAATTAAGTGAATAATTTAAAACTGTTTTCCAGAGTAACTACTGCCTACCTAATGCTAAATATCAAATTTCACAACAATGCTGCTACACTTACAATGTCCCAATTTCTGGTTTTGAACTTATTACAACCCTAGTCAAAGCATTTTTCAGAACTTTGTTGTTTTTGTCATGAATTCCTTACCCAAAAGTAAGAATTTCATTGGTTTTTTTTCCCTCCAAGTTTATTCCAAACTGAAGCAAGATTATTATTTTTAAATCTGATCTTTCTCAAGAATTGTCATATGCAACCACAAACATTGTGCATTAACATAGAGTTAAAGATGAAATGTTAAATATTAAATGTCTGGAGTAATTTTTATGTTCAGAGATTTAATGAAATTAAAGTTGTTTATAATTGGAGACTGAGATGCATTACTTTTTGATGATCTTTTAGGTTGAAATAATAAACAAAATTTTAAAACTGTTTTAGAGTAATTGTTGAACAGATTAAGTTTAACATTGGTTTCTATGCAGAATGCAAGCCTTAAGCTTTGTAAATTCGATCTCTGTTAGAATGCATATTATTTTGCACAAACGTCGGATTAATTTGTAGATATTCTGAATATGAAATCATTATTTGCTTTGCTTGTTTTTTTTAAATTATTAATCGTATCTTTTTCAGCATATTTCTTCTCCAAAAAGCTACTTAACTAATCGGCCAGAGTTTTTCTTTAACGTCTCTCGTAAGCTGGTTGGTGGATTTGAATTTATTGCATGCCGTTCTGTTTTTTACTTTCTTGCCGTTAAACATTTCTCGGCCGAATTAAGTTTTTTCTTTTTTTATGGTTGCAGCTACTTTGCCTTTACAAAAAAGACTGGCTTCGAGCTGTAGGCATTCTCAAGCACAAGTAACGCAGGTGCATGTTTTTTTTTGCTGCCCCACCCTCTTCCTTCCTTTCTTATATAAAAGAATTGTTGTATGAAAGAAGAGAAAGATGTTAAAATATTGTGTTGTCAGTTTGAATTGGTGGTGTTATAGTAAAATTTCATTTAATAATAAACTTACTCCATTCATCGCTTACATTGTGCATTTGTAAATGTGTGTAAGCAGGGGCTGACCAAATCTTTTCGCGATAGGAGTCATACATTGCCTATCGAGAAATACGAGAACCACATTCTCTGTCGAAAGTGATATTTTATACAATGGATACATATTCCCGTATATTTAATTATTATAATTAAATAAATTCAAGCTGCAGTAGAGGTCTAGAAAAGCCAAATGCAGTTTGTGAGCCGCAGTTTGGCTATCGTGACTATGAAGCACCGTACTGATGGGCGCAAGAGAGCCTAAGAATTCCAGGATGTTTGTCACTTTTGGGTGACAAACATCTTGGAATTCTTAGGCTTTCTTGTGCCCATCATTAGCATATACAGTAATGGTGTGTCCCATCGAGAGATGCAAGAGCACTTGAAAGTATGAGATAAGTAAATCTATTCTTCTAGTTAGCAATATTTTGTATATATTTAGTTAAACTTTAGCACGTCATTCTTAATCATGAAAAACAGATTAATTTTATAATGTATAATTGTGTTGCATGAGTAGAGAATCAGGTGGAAGAATCGGTTCTCTCCAGAATGACTTTTTATTTGTTTATTTTCAAATTTATCCAACTTACGATCCGTTACGATTTAAAAATGAAATTTTACTAAATTATCAAGTAGTTTGCATGTTTAGAAAATTTACAGAGTTTTATGCTTTGGTATAAATTTTTACCAATGAATCGATAGTGATAAAGATAAATAAAACGTCAAATTTTTATCTATAAAGCAAATTACAAAATCACTGTCCTTATCTTTTAACTTATCGGCTGTGTAAGGTATATGAATTGATAAATGTCTTGTTTCCGATTAAACTTATATGACGCAGCAATGAACTCTGTAAATATGATGTGCACAAAATATGTAAATCCAAATATTTGTCTTGTCCAGTTTTGTTTTGGTTTGATTTCCTTAAAATTTTAATTTAAATTTATTTGTTTTGTTACTAAATTAAGATAAAATTTAATTAATAATTTAAAACTAATTAAAATTTATTTTTACGTACATAGGATGCCAGGTACATCCATCAAAGCAGTCAATTTAGGTTCCTATAATTATTTAGGATTTGCTATAAACGAAGGAAGGTGTATCGACAAAGTCGAGTCGTCCATCTCTGCGTATGGAGTGGGCGTGTGTACCACACGCCACGAATTAGGTAAAAAAACCAATGATTTGTCGATTTTCATCCTCGTGAATATCGAAACGACACATCGTATTTTTAAGGTTACAAAATAGGACTTTATTGGATTTAATTAATGTATTTGCCAGCATATAAGAGGCACCCCATTTTCAGATGGTATATTTTTGAGAAAAAGTGTCTCTTATATGTGGTACATTAAATTCAATAGAAATTTATACACTAGCATAATGACATTTTAAAACTTTCATATCAATTACCTTACCAAAACTTCCATAAATTAATTATTTAGAGAGAGAGCAATGTTTAGTGTTTTTATTAAAATTTGTTTCACGTAGATGATGATGAAAACTATGCAAAGTTTGCTCTAGAAATAAACTGTCCCACTAAATACATTTTTTTAGTTATAAAAATTTACCAATATTATTAATTTAATTAAAAATAATGTAACCCACTTCTAATCCGGTTTCATAAAGGGATGTTTTGTTATTTTAAGGATATAAATAAATCTTTTGTTTGACTTGAGAACTTTGAACTGAATTTGTTTGTATATTTAACATTTTCGTATTAGTTTTATTAATTATATTACTTTTTGTTTGTCAGAACTTGAAAAACACATGAAAAGTTAACTTTAAAAAAAAAAAAGGTTGTTTTTTTATGCTGAGTTAATAATAATAGTAATAATAATGGCTTGGTTAGTAAAAAACTTTCCATATTTACAACTGAACAACAACAAAATACTTTATTTGCTGCTTTCAGTTTTCACTAAGTATACAACAACTTCGTCACAGCACTTCACAGCCTTCTCTAAACTCCAAAAACTTAACGTCACCTCTTCTAAAGTGTTGCCAGCCAGCCATTTGGGCTATCTTCCCACATCTGTAAGCCCAATTAGTTATATTAAAGCCAAATGATTGCTGTATTAAATCGGGCTAAATTACTGTTGCTACTAATAATTAAGTGCTAAGTAATTTGGTATAGATGTAGGTAAATATTAGCTGCCTTCTGTTATTAAGTTTAATAGTGCAATCATTTGCTACTGTTTTAATTATTGTAATAATTTATAAATAATACATTCCTTTTGAACTTAAAAAATAATACCACAAGAACGAAATTAAGATACGTGAAAGATTAAGTACAAAAAAAAATGACAAAAGTAACATTATTATTGTATAGATGTTTTTATAGAGAAATTTGTTTTGAAATTTACTAATGCACGCACTGCCGCTTTCGAAATGTATTAAAAATATATTAATATATGTATATGATGGACTAAAAATATTTAATCTGTGCAAGGCATAACCTGACAAGACAAACTCTGCATAATTGCTCTCAGAAATCTAAGAAAAGTATAATGCAGTTGTAAAAAGCCATAAAAGTACTCGAAAGTTTCAATTCATTTAATAGAAGTCTGGTAATACAAGTCAAGTTTGAGCTACAGTGGAGGATACAGTTGTAGGCAGATTCAGACAATCCACTCAATAAAATGTAAATCTTCTCTTGGTTTACAAGATGTGTTCGGAATGAGGTATGCACTCGGTATTGCATAACAGAAGTGTAAAGTGGTTATTGATTTTTATTTTCAAATTACTTAAACTAGTAGCTTAACATGTTTTAGTTCCTTTATGTGACCTAACAAGTCGGAAAATTGGATTTGTAGGTGGTCGATCTGCAATGTCCGCTGCTGCTGCTGCTACAGAGTTCCTTAAAAATACTTTGTTTTTAAAATTAGTGTTCTTTGTTGGGTTTCTGCTATTACTTAAAGGTTCCAAAACTTTTTGAAGCTGCATCCCCTACTGTTTTGTATCTCTTTCCCGTATATCTCCCTCTTTCTTCAATCTTGTATCTTTGCAAAAAGAAGTTTTCCGTCAATGACTGCCATCAAAAGCGAAAGCAAGAAATTGCCTTGAATTCAAATGATTTGATTGTATGCATTTCAAATACAGAGCCAAGATTTGCAAAGATAGTTTCTGAAAAACAAGCACACATTTCACATCAGTTTTCTGTTGTAAATGCAAAATAAATGTGTTAATTTGACTTTTTCATTTTGTGTAAAACCTCTCATGACTCCCAAGAGTGTTGCAACCAATGTTCTAGAAACTGTGGACTTTTGAGGATCTTGAAATTATTTTAATACTTTGTGAGAAGCACTTGATTAAAAAAAAACCATAATTTGATTTTGGTGATATGTTAGCTTCCAATTTTATAATCCTTACTTTTTGGAAAAATTAGGACTTGAATATAAGTTGACCTCTTATTGTTGATTTTATTTACATAGAAAACATTTCAAATTTTTTTAAAATACAAATTACTAAAGTAATCAAAATACAGTCGACCCCCCCCATAACACTGTTGATAATTCTGTTTTATATGAATTTCATGTTGTACGAGTCACTTAGATTTTATAAATACGTGTGCTGGGCTGTGAACGGCTTATTTATTTGTAAAATATAAATGACTCGTACAACATGGAATTCATATAAAACAGAATTATCAACAGTGTTATAGGGAGGTCGACTGTAGTACTTTGTCAGTTGGAGTAGGTTGATTTCATGCAAATTTTGGATAAATCAAACACTAAGAACATAGAGGTTAACTCTCTATTCAATTTTCTCGGGACTTCTCCATTTCATTGCCGGACACCCACCAGGGGCCAAGAGGATAAAAACTGTTGAACGCCAGTAGTTGATTGTGAATTCACACCTGGCCAATGGACCAACCTCATGGCCCATTGGCCAGGTGTGAATTCAATACCTAATACCTAAATAGGACCAGTTAAACTACCACAAAAATTCTCCCGCAAGGCATCCCCTTGGCGGATCACACACTTGTCACATTGCCTTATACGAATAAAATCAACTAAAGAAAAACTGTTCCATTGCCGAACCTAAAAGTTTTAATTTGGAGCATTAAAAGTTAAATATTTTAAAAAGATTTTTAAAGAAATGCTTTTTATTCATATAAATGCACTAAAAAGTAAAACGTAAATTTTCTTTGGCTCTCACGGTATTTTTGGTATCGTATGACTAAAACTGAAAGTGTGGGGAGTTTGTGGAAAGCCGTGAAACTCAACAGAATGTGTAACAAGAATGCCCCAAGCTTTTATTTTTGGTCACACAATAGCAAGAATACTGTGAAAGCTATAGTTTATTTTCTAGCTTTTAGTTTTATGTATGCAACACCAATATTGAAATTCCGATTGTTTTAGTATTTAATTTGGAAGTGGCTGAAAAATTGACTTAAAAGATTTTGAGCAGACAGTCCGACTAAAAATGGGACGACGGTTTGCCCTACGTGTGGCACCATCTGTATCACATTTGTACAAATTTTAATTCTGCTAATTGCTATAATTGTAAAAGCCCGATGGCACTTCTCTGACCCATTGTTGGACCAGTTTGAATGGTTTGACACCCGTATTCTCGGCATTTATTTATTCTGAAAATTCTCTTTTATTTTCCTCGGCACTTTTGTCATTCCTGTTTCCCATTTTGTTGCCGCACGTCTTCGGCTTCCTCGAATGGTAAATCGTCCTTTGTTGTGTCCGAGTTGTCAGTAAACTATTTCTTAAAGCTATTTATTAATTGTCTTTTCCAACGATGTTTCATAATTTTATGGTTCTAACTTTTACAAGAAAATAAAAAATTTTTTATTACTTTTTATCTATACAGTAGAGCCTCGAAAACTCTGCACTCGATAACCCAGCACTCCGGATAACTCGGCCACACCCTGGCAGGGCAAAAATACCCTTAGATAATTAATTTTCATCATAGACAGCTTTATGCCTCATAAAGTATTTTTCTGAGGTCTGTCTTATCAGGTAAATTACTGTACACAGTGTATTCATTAATTTTCATTTTCATGTAGTAAAGGCTCTATGCCTTCATAAAGGACGTACTTTTCCTTTGTTTAAGGGTATTTGGGCAGTTTATTCTCT